CCGAGCCCCCAGGACTATTTCAAAGTTTTTTACGGTCTCTATGGACATCTTATTCTTCAGTTTTTTCCTGTGAAACATTGCTTCAGGCACAAGTGACAATAATACATTTGATAACACTCCCTGGGGATAGGTTTTTAGCACAAGGGAAACTCAAGTGAGGTTGAAAAAGAAGAGCAATTCAAGGGTCATTGAGAGAACTGCCAGATAAGTCAAAAAATTACTCTTCTCTGGAATGAGGTTTTAAGAAAAATACTGCACTCCCTCTGGAACCAAGAATATTGGTTATTATATTTCAAGGCTACTGATGAGCTGGAGATCTGGAGATGGGACTGCTGTAAGTTAAAACATTACAAATCTTGCTGTTTTCACTATGATATATTTATTTAGATTGCTTAATATTTCGTTGGTTGCTGCTGGTTAGTTTTCAGAGTTGGATAAAAAAGATTCTGACAGTTTTTACAAGTTCATTTTATTTTTATGGAGGGCAAAATTTCTCAGTTTCTTACTCCAGTATTTTTTTTTATGAGTGTTCTGTCTTTCGTGTTTTAAAGATAGTTTTGCTGAATTTAGTATTCTTTGTTGACAGTTTACTTCAGCACTTTGTATATGTCATCTCAATGCTTTCTGGTATTCATTCTTTCTCATAAAAAGTCAGTTGTTTCACTTGTAAATCACATTTTGTTTTTCTATTGCTGCTTTAAGAAATTTTGGGTGAAGACAATTCAGTTTATAGTAGTTACACATTGAGGTTCTAGGTTGATATGAACTTGGGTGATACTATGAATAGTGTCCATTAATTCCTCTAGTGGATAATTAATTTCATTTACTATATTTTTCAACTACATAATTTCCTTTTTTTTTTTTTAATTCCATCTGTCTATTGATAGTGTCTTGTCTCTCTAAGGCAAAACTGTCATCATTCTGTTTCTTTACTTTTTTGTTTGGGTTTATTTGTTTTTTTGATATAGTGTCATGTTGTTCAGCCTGGTCTTGAATGCTAGGGTTAAGCAGTCCTCTTATTTAAGCCTCCCACATAGCTGAGATTGCAAGTGCATGCTACTATTCTTGGCTTTTTTCTTTTTTTTTTTTTTTTGCAGTTTTTGGCCAGGGCTGAGTTTGAACCCGCCACCTCCAGCATATGGGGCTGGTCCCCTACTCCTTTGAGCCACAGGTTCCACCCTGGACTTTTTACTTTTTAAATTGTGATTTCTTTAATTCTTTTAACACATTTATAATATGTTCTAAAGACTTTGTATGCTAAGTCCCCTTTCTTTTGCCTGCTTTTTCCCTTTATGCTTTCTTATTATGTTGTATTTCTCATTTTTTTTGTTGTTATAGAAAAATGAACATTTTAGATAATATATTGTAGCAACTCTAGCCATCAGGGTGTATTGTTGTCCTTGCTTGTTTGATTAGTTGGTTAGTGACTTGGCTGAATTATTTCATTAAAATGCATTTCCTCTACTGGGTGAAGACTTTGATGTTACATATCAAAGAGTGTAGCCTTGGGCTGCAGTGTTTAACAACCATTGGGCTGACAGTAATTTTAGTGGGGCTCTTTTTAATTGTCTCGTTCCCTGATATCTCTGATTAACTCTCTGCTTTTGTTGGTATCACACCCAGCTCTTGGGCTACACTATAAGTCTTCTGAATCCACTTTTTATTTTTGACAATGCCTAAGGCAAATATTTCTCCACAGTGTCATCCAATTAAATTTGGACTCTTTTGCAAAGGCAGATTTGGGGCTGATCTTTGAGGTTTGTTCTGACCTTGAGAGACCACTCATAAGCTGTCTCCCTGGTTCACTATGGTAAACTCTGGACTATGCTATTGTTGTCAGTGGTGACAAGAATGAGAAAAATCACTATTGTTGTCAAATGTACACTTGGGCTTGAACTTCCTCACAGTCTGTTCCAAGTAAAGTCAATTACCTTGGGCAGTACTAGAGAGTTCTTTGTTCTTATGGCCTACCTCTCACCCTGGGAAAACTCTGTGAACTACTAGCTCCAAGGCTAGGGCTAGGAATTGGGATGGTGATCCACTTCTCTTGATGTGACATACTGTTTGATGAGTAGAGTACTGGCAGTGGTGGTAGCCTCTGGTCTTCTTGTTTGTTCCTCCCACTATGAAATCTTTACCTTGGTAATAGGCTGGAGTGACAAAATTAGTGCTTTATTGTTTTCACTCATGAGGCCTGGGCAGAACCTCACCTTGGGGATAAGGGATATATGGAGTAAGCCAGTTTCTATCCTTCAGGCTTCATTCACCTGGAATTTAGCCTTTGTAACTTAAAGTTTGAGGGGCAGAGGGCATGAGAAATGCTGGTGCCCTGGCCCTTACAGGAACATAGCATAAGGCTTGACTGAGAGTTGGAGGAAGCAGAAACTCTTTACTCTTGAGCACACTTATCCATACCTAGTTGGATTTTAAGAAAAATCTGTGGCTTGATTGCCACAGACTCTTCCTGATCTTACTAAGATTTAGTATATTTTCTTAAAGAAATGTTTCTTTATTTGTTATATTCACACAGGATAATTTCCAGAGAATTTCCACAGTGATGTGTATGTATCTCTGTGTGTGTGTGTTAGTAATTTTCACTATTTATGAGTTTTTCAAGAAGAGTGGGTCCATGAAATTTCTCCATGTGCCATTCCAACATAAAACCAAAGACTCTGTATCTTCATTTTCTTTGAAGATACTTTCAATTTCATTTTGAAAGTCTAAGATAATTTCAGGCATGGCAAGAAACTACTCCTATGTAATTTCCTGAAATCCTTATTGTCTATAGGGATTTTCAGCTGAATTCTTGAGTCTGAAGAATACTGTTTCTTAAATAGGCCTTAAGACCCCATTTTGGGACTCAGAAGTTAAATATTGACTCTTTCTACATTCTATAAAAATCTGAATATTTCTTGGGGCAATGGATATGTCTGATTAAATATGAAGACAGTCCCCTTAAAGGAGATATCAATAAGAAAGAACAAAATAATATGCTAAAAAGTATAATCTTGCTACCTATATCATTATCCTATGTGAAAATTCAATGTAGTTTTATTCAGTAGGCATATGAACCTGTAAGCAGAGCATAAACCAAACTTTTTGCCAATAAATTATGCATAAGCACACACTTCATATGGTTCTCATTTTTTAAATTTTTATTTATTTATTTATTTATTTATTGCAGTTTTTGGCTGGGGCTGGGTTTGAACCTGCCACCTCTGGCATATGGGGCTGGTGCCCTACTCCTTTGAGTCACAGGCACCACCCAGGCTCTCATTTTTCAAAACAAAAATACTTTATTTTCTATTTATTTTTCTTGTTTGTTTTTTATTGTTTGGGATTCATGGAGAGTGCAAAGAATTAGGTTACACTGATTGCATTTGTCAGATAAAGTCCCTCTTATAATTGCATCCTGCCCCCCAAGAGGTGTGCCATACACACTGTGACCCCACATCCTCCACCCTTTTCTCCTCTTCCCACATGCTCATTCCCCTACTCCCCCTTGTATTAGTCCATCTGCTGCCTTCATATTAGAATTGAGTACCTTGTATTCTTGCTTCTCAATTCTTGTGATGCTTTACTAAGAAGAATGTGTTCCACTCCAATCCAAGCTAATACAAAAGATGTAAAGTCTCCATCTTTTTTAGTGGCTGAATAGTATTCCATATACCACAACTTATTAATTCATTCCTGGGGTGGTGGGCATTTAGGCTGTTTCCACATTTTAGGGATTGTAAATTGAACTGCAATAAATAGTCTGGTGCAAATGTTCTTATAATAGAAGGATTTTTTTATTCTTCTGGGTAGAAGCCTAGTAATGGAATTGCGGGATCAAATTGGAGGTCTAATTTGAACTCTTCGAGGATTCTCCATACTTCCTTCTGAAGAGGTTGTATTAGTTTGCAGTCTCACCAGCAGTGTAAAAGTGTTCACTTCTCTCCATATCCACGCCAGCATCTGCAGCTTTGAGACTTTGTGATGCCATTCTCACTGGGGTTAGGTGATATCTCAGGATAGTTTTGATTTGCATTTTTATGCTGATTAGGGAAAATGAGCATTTTTCAGTGCTGAGAGTAGGTCTAAGTATTTTCTGTGGAGCTGGTCTTATGGCAAATTTCCTCAGTGCTTGTATATTAACAAAAGATTTGATTTCTCCATCAATTTTGAAGCTTAGTTTAGCAAGGTACAGAGTTCTGGGCTGAAAATTGTTTTGTTTAAGAATGTTGAAGGTGGTTGACCTTGCTCTTCTGGCTTGGAACCTTTCAGTTGAAAAGTCTGCTGTCATCTTAATGGCTCTGCCTCTGTAGGTCAGTTGGCACTTACTCCTAGCTGCTTGCAGAATTTTTTCTTTCATCTTGGCTTTGGACAGTTCATTGCAATGTGTCTTGGAGAGGGTGTGTTTGAGTTGAGGTGACACAGGGGTTCAATATCCATCTGAAAAGAGTGTGTCCAGGTCCTTAGTAAAACTTGGGGACTTTTCATTTATGATAGTCCCCAATAGGGCTTCCATTCCTTTGGGACAATCTTCTGAGTCTCATAGTTCTCTAATTTCCTGTTCTGCTTTCTTTCTCTTCTTTTCTGCATCTTTAACTACCTGAGTTAACTCAAAAATGTTATCCTCTACCTCTAAGATTCTTTCTTCACCATGGTCTAACCTATTTTGGATGCTTTCTACTGCATCTTTAGGTTCCCTGATTGTCTCCTTCATTTCCTTAAGCTTTGCCATATTCTTTCTATATTTTATGTATCTCTTATCCAACTTTTGGTTCTGTCTTTCCATTTTCTTGTCCATTCCTTTTATTGTCTTTATTGTCCATAGTTTAAATTCCCTTTCTGTCAAGTTAATTAATTCTTTATATGTGGAGTCTTCTGCAATAGCTGCCTCATGGTTCCTTGAATGAATTTTGGTTTTTCATGTTGCCCCAGTTTTTCTTGTTGGTTCCTCTTCATGTGTTCTTTCTTCTTGTTCACTTCCTTGTCCTCCTTTTTTCTTCTCACTGTCCCCTTTGCTTCAAATTACCTTGCCTCAGAGTTTAGGTCTCAAAGTGGCCTCAGCTTGAGCAAAACCAAACTCTTCCTCATGGCCAAGTAAACAGACATCCTTGCTCATGATAACAATATGTTGCAGTATGTCACCAGAACAACAGGCGGCTCTGTGATATTTTTAAGTGACAGAGAGCACAGTCTGCAACCTTTATGGTCCTTATTCCAAACTTAGTTGCCTTTGGTGATCACCTGATTGTTTCCTCAGCATTCAGACGCTGTCATGTTGGGATTTTAAAGCTCACAAGAATCCTTCAGGGGCAGGTCTCACAATGCCCCCAGCTCAAGTTCCCATAGAGTGTGGGAGTCCCTCAGCCTGTTGCATGAACAGAGTTCTGATCCTGGCAGGTGGAATTAGAACAGCTGTGCTTTAGGCTCCTGCTAAGACCTTCTGACAACTTTACCACAATGGCAGCCCCCTGGCTGCTGAGACCTTCTCAGTATGGCTGCTTTCCCAGCCACAAACTGATAACAAATCCACTCCAACTGGCATTCAAATCTGGTTGCTGTATATTGTTCAAGTCTGCCCATACTTCCAAGCTTTCCACTCAACGTGCACCTTCTCCCAACAACTTAAAACTCCAGAAATGCTTCCTCCCATCCTGGACCTCTGTATGGGGCCAGCCGAGCCCAGCCAGTTGCAATCACTTGCCTAATTTATCAGATTTTCACTGCTCTGTTTCATACACTGTATTCAGCTCACCACCTCCTCCCTGAGCTATGACTCTGGGGAAGGTCCCCACATCAGGTATAAGTGGGTTCTCCCTTTTTCTCCATTCATTCTAGGAGAGCTCACCTGAACAATCCTTCTGGTGTACCATCTTGCTACATCCCCATTAGACCAACAAAAATGCTTTATGAAAATAAGTGATCATCTCCTTATTTAGCTGAATTTTATGGGTGATTTTACTAATAATTTAGAGTGCTGTGGCATCACCCAGCTCACAGCGACCTCCAACTCCTGGGCTTAGGTGATTTTCTTGCCTTAGCCTCCCAGGTAGCTGGGATACAGGCACCCGCCACAATGCCTGGCTATTTTTTTGTTGCAGCTTTGCTGGGACCGGGTTTAACCTGCCACCCTCTGTATATGGGGCCGGCACCCTACCCACTGCACTACAGGAGCTGCCCCAACTAATAAATATTTTAAAGCAGGAAGTTTCTCCAGTATAAATATGAATATATTTTGTATAAAACAAAGATTCTTTCTTTCTATTTGTAGATATGCCAAATTTTAACCTCTTCTATAGCATGTACTTTATAGTATCTGGGGAATGTGAATTGCAATCTAATCTCTTAGATTTAGTGTAGTCATCCTCCTCTTCATAATCTTCCCATTCCATTAATAATACATAGAATAATTTCTTCTTTCTGCCTTATTCTGAATTGCTACTACTACCACACCTATACACTATCCAAGAGAACTATTCATCTGGTTCTAAGATTCTTAAATAGCAGTCAGTGAGTCAACTGGGGTTAACTTCTGTTTGCCAGATGATGGCAGCAGAGTACCATAAAATTTTAACAGGTCAGGCTGCTCAGGCAGGGACTGGTGTGTGAATTTAAATCTAGAGAGCAATTCCAGCCAAAATGGCCAAAAGAGGATATCACTTCAGAAGGAAGTTACTTTTGCCCTCATAGGATTAAAAGTCATGATAATATCTGATGAAAATTAGCTTTCAAAAATGACTTAAGAATTTTTCAATAAATTACAAAATAGAAATATACTGGGTTTGGATTAGTACAAATTTCATGTTCTGTATTTACAGTTCAGGTCCTGGATAATGAGCATATCAAATCCATTCCTTAATAAATTTATTAATCTCATTATGTTTTCTTGGTCCCTTCAATTTCACCCTCTTTCCAGTTCAAACTCAGTGAGAACTGGGAAGGCTTACTTTGTGATCACAGCTACTTCACTGATGAGTTGTAGTTTAGGTAAGACAGTGCAATCACTCATAATCAGTCTGTATGGCCTTTTCAAAATTTGATGTTCTATGACTTCTAGTCCTTCTTCCTTTTTTCCATTTTTCTAAACTAAAACCACACTAGAGGTTCTCCACTTAAGTTTATAATCTAACATTTTACGGAGGCAGTACGATGTGGTGGTTAACAATTCTATGACTTCTCGTCCTTCTTGCTTTGGTTATTATCATTTTTCTAAACTAACACCACACTAGAGGTTCTCCACTTAAGTTAATAATTTAACATTTTACAGAGGCACCATGGTGTGGTGGTTAATAACATGGATTCTGAATTGGTCACTTCTTGACAGTATGACTTTAAGCAAATGATTGAATTTCTCAGAAAGCTTTAGATTTCTTGGAAATGTTGATAATAATGTTACATGTCACACCAGGTAAATGACAATATTAGTATATAAAGGTTATACAAATTGATCATATTACTATAAAAAGCATTAAGACTAGTGCCTAGACAATAGTTAAGTTTTACATGTATGTGAATTATTATATTACCCAAATATAATAAAATATTATATTTCTTAGGAAAATAAACTCAAGAAGAATCTTATTATTTCCTTTTACATCAATGAAATACAGATAAAATAAGAATTGAAAGAGTAACCCTAATAGATTATATTTAAACCATTGATATTTGGGGGTTCAGAGCATAAACACCAACAGGGCTAGCCTTGAGAGTAGGAGGAGTCATGGTCTTTCTGCCCTTCTGCTTAGTGGGATTAGTTAAGTTATCAGGCAGAAACTCTCTTAGCCCCAATTACAGATCACTGCTTATGATTTCACCACTGCAGTTTCTAATATCTAAGATTTAGGAATAGTAGTCTCCAACCATGGGAGGGAGGAGCACCTAATAATCTTTGCATGTGATGGAATAGAGGAAGTGAGCAATTTGAAAATGGCCCTTAGGAAAGTTGGGCCCTAATTCCTCTATTCCCCACCCCAGAAGGACTATTTTAGGAGTCATTAGTATGCTAATATTATGCAATGGAGTCACACCTAAAGGAAAGTAGAATCATGAAAAAGAATTGGAAAGAAGGTGTGAAGAAACTTAGAGACAAAAAACAATTGATAAGAAATAGTTTGAGTAGGTGATCCAAACATGGATTTATCCTACTTCATGGTTGTCTTCAGGTTTGGCTCTTGATCACTTTACCATTCAAGACCTTTTGCTGACCTTTTTTGAGAAAGGAATTACCCTAGCCAATTTTCCCTAGAGAAGGAAACTCCAAACCCAGAAGGCTGAGATATAGCTACCATAATGAATCTACTAACTCATCTTCCCAGCTTGACTTAAGCAGTGATGACATACAGGCATTAATGCCTTCATAAACATAGAGACATTATTTTCACTCATTTGAACTACAATAAGATTTCTTGAGAGAGAGAGAGAGAGAGGAGAAGCGTAGAATTATTGTTATCCATATGGAAATGGCACATGAGGCATTGTCTTAACATGTCATCATATCGTGTATGCCAGGAAAGGAAATGTTTGCCCATTAATAGCAAGGAAATCACTCCTTGAAAG